TTAAATGACAAAGCATCTTTTTTATACAGTGGTGGACCACGTTATATAACTGATAGGATGACTGTAGGGCTGAAACAATTAATCCGATTAATCGATTACTAAAATAATCTTCACCTAATTTGGTAATCGATTAATCGTTAACTGAAGGGTAGAGATTCTAAAACGTGCCTTTAGCTGACAGAGTGACCCACTTTGATCAGCATTTATCCCAAAATTGTAAAAAAACAATATATAAACATATTTGCATTTAAGATCAAAAATCTTTTTCGTCCGTTATTATGCTCTATCCAGAACTACTCGAATGGAAAAGTTTTAGCTTCACCTGATTTGAATTTGTAAAAAGTATTGTTTTAGGAACCTTTTTCCGATTATTACACTGCAACAACAATCTAGAAATAAGTAAATATTTCTTAAATGAAGTGTATTTACCCTTAATTTGAGTAGGTAAGTAAGAGGATTTGCCAATGGAATGAGTATTTTTACTCTTAAAATAAGATAATTAGATAAAATTCACTTGAAATAAGAAAATGCAATTGTTTATTCTTATTTCAAATTTAAATTGTCATGTTCCATTGGCAAAGTGTCTCACTTACCTCCTCAATTCAAGAAAAAATGCACTGATTTTAAGAAAAATTTACTTATTAAGATTGAAATTTTTTGCAGTGTAATAGATTAATCTAAAAAAAATTACTGACAGATCAATCGATTACAAAATAATTGTTAGTTGCAGCCCTAGATGAGGAATCATAATCAAATTGGGGCATTTTGTATTTTTACACCCATATCTATTAAGATGCTTCCTTCATCATTGAAGAAATGACCAGGACAACTTGCCAACTAGCAATGATAAATAAAAACACATCCAGTACCATCTGAAGCAGTTTATTTATTATTTAACACAGACACACAAAAAATATTTTTATAGCACTTTTTCTCCCAGGTATAAGAAATCGAAATTATTTTAAATTTAACTCAAATCAATCCATGTTCATCCTAATACAATCAAATAATATATCATTATTCTGATCCAAGCACATAGAGCCCTCTTCATTTTTCTATAATAGCTGGAAATATAATGCAGAGTGCTTTAACAGTTATTCAACAAATATTGTCTGCTACTTAAAAAGTAATTGGCTGTTTATCTTCTGTAAAAGATGATAATCAAGCAAAGACAATAACATTTTGAGAATCCATGCTTAGTTTCTTTTATTTTAATATTGAGAAATGTTAACTGTTACTGAGCCCTCTGTTCTTTCTAACTTCTTTAATTAATATCACCATTTCACCAAAGAACTCCCACTGAGATTAATAATCTATGATGAGAGCAGCAGTACACAGAGATACATGACATTAACATCAAAACATTAAAAAAAGACCCAAAAGGAACAATTCAGAACAATCTTTGGCTGAACGATCCATCGACAGTCCAAACCTGCTCCTTATAGCAGGGTCGATGGGCGGGGATGCTGCTGCCTGTCTCCAGCAGTACCAGTACCAGCCCGTCACAAGGAAACAAGGAGACAAACAATCATGCAGAAAAACACTTTTCTTAAATACTATTAAGAAACATAATTGTCTTATTGCATTTCAGGGAAAGTTAGAAAACCTGGAGAGAAGCCACACTAGCAACCATTTTACTGTGAAGCATTTGCTGCAACTAGGTGCACCGCTGAGGCCTTAAGCTGCACCGTGTATATAAAGCATTAGAGAAAAAGTAGAAATATGGAAGAACAAAAGAGCCTAAAATCAAACAATAACATTCATTAGAGTGTTGCTTGTCATAATAGAAATACTGATGATGTATTGTTCTTCCACTTTTTAAATAATTATTTCTTGGTTCAGTCCTAATCACATAAAAATCCACTGGCTGTGCTTTTGAATTTTAAACCTCTTTCCCGCTGACATTAGTGGGTTAACGTGTGTTTTATCAAACATGGGTTGACCCGCTAACAATCAGCACCTGGCTTACTTCCTACTGGCATAAAAAGCTGGTCTATCCCCCCGCCGGCAGCAGCATGGTGTCTGTCCCCCCAAAGCTGTGTGTCTGGTGACACCATCACGCCAGGTTAAAGTTGATGATGTCACCATGTGACAGAAATCAGGAAAGTAAACAATGTCAGTCAGAGTGCTTTATTGTTTCGCTCTATTATCTGTCTGAATTCCTCTCACTAGAGCATTCAGTGGTATCAGGAAATTTAGCGGGTTAACTTGTGTTCCCACTGCATGCCGATCAGAGTCGAGGCAATTTTAACCTGCTGGGACGGGTGGTAGCGGGTCGATTCATGTTTGAGAAACATGGGTTAACCCGCTATCTCAGTAGGAAGAGGCTTTAGTGAGCTGTTCCCACTGCCACTAAAAGCCGACTATGTCCATGTTTAATCTGGTTTTTCAGCCAATGACAAAGGGGTATTACAGAGCGTAGTTAGTTAATATAATAGTTCTGAAGCGGACCTGAGTGGTTTTATTGACCAATCAGATATTAGAGCCTATTTACAGCGGCAGCATTACAGACCACAAGCTAAATTTTAAATGTGCTATATTCATAAATCAATTGTTATTCAATGAATAACTCATTTTTATATTTTAAATACATATGGTATCATGGTATTGGAATATTTATGTAGATAATATTCACACAATAAATCATTATTGGACCGATGGTGGCCCATCGGTCCCTGCATACAGGACAGAATGCTCTTCTTATTATTATTAGACTAGTGAGCTTTGTTGGTCCTGCTGTTAGAGGCCTTTGTGTTGCTAACGGCCCAGGATGTAATTATAGCCCCCCCCCCACCCCTTTACAAACAAACAGCTCAGCGATTACAGGACAATTAGCAGGCCTTCCAGAGTTTATTCAGGTCAATAACACAACTGGTGGATTTAGCAGAAATAAACTGTGGCTGCCTGTTCGTAAATAATGATGAGCCTTTAGACTGACTGCATTTTAATGGGATAAGTCCACCTTCATGTTTCAAAGTTCTATGATTTAAAACCTCTTATTTTTATGGTATTTCAACGACAAAATAAAAGATCTGCGTTTTAAAAAATGACCTTCCAACAAAGGCTGCTTTTATCCGCTTGTCTTCACATGTGCCATGAGGACAGGGGGGTTGGGGGCGGGGAGGACCCTGCTGCCAGGCTTGGACACTGTATACAGGCTTTATGTGACATGATCCGTAACTCTATCTATAGGTGTTATGGTATCATTCCCACCATTAAAGAGGTTTTCCACCTTCGCTGTGACCTCCGCCTCGCCTCACAGGACACAGAAAACCACCTGATTGCGATGTCTGTTACTGTACAGGGGGAGCGAGGTGTGTGTGGGCCCACAGCAGAGTGTGTGAGGCTGGTCACTGCAATGTTAAGCAGCGTCCAGCTAAGGGCTTCGCTCCTGTGAGAGTGGGGGAATCTGGCACGGCCAGTAAGCATGTATATCAGGCCATCTCACGGCTGGCTGGAGGCTCCCTGGGTGGCCCGCCGTGGTCAATACTGCACTGGTGACTGGACACACAGAAAGGGATAATCTGCTTTCTTTCAGGGGCCGTGGTGCACACATACAGGTCCGCTTTTTATGCCGACCTGACCATGGAGGCTACAGTTCGCCCAGTCCTAAGATTTCAGGTCAAAACCAGTCAGGGGGAAGGCCTGGTTTGAGCACCAAGGAGAGGGCTGGATGAGCCCATTACAGCCAGAGCAATAGAGCACACTGGGAGCACTGGGGCATCGCCTCCTTTGGCTGTTTGTGTGGGCGGGAGAGGCCTGACCCCTCACAAAAAACTAGAACCTGCGTATGTGTGGAAATTAAAGTGTATATTTGTTCAGTTTCCTCTTAAACCCAGTTTAACAACCCCACTTCTGTAAAGCACATGGCCAAAGATGGGAAGAATATATGAAAGAACATTCATTTCCATTGTGTTTCATCTCAATGACATTAATCCTCATATACATCCAGAAAAGTAAGGTTAAAGGATTTCTATTTTCAGTCAGATTATTTAAGATTATCAACATAAAACAATCAAACTCATCCTGTCTAGCTGAAACATTTAGATAAAAAATATCACCCAGTTCAAACATAGGGAAGGAAAAAAATCAAATGAGGCAGTTTTTGATTTCACATTTGTTTCACCTTTATTTCAAAATTTTAGAATATTTTATTTCATATATTTTGACAGTAATCAGTAGTTAACTATAAACTCTACAAAAAAATACAGCACCCTCTACAACTAGGCTCCTCCATCAAAGTTTGTTTTTTATCAGTAGCATAATCTAATGTTTAAACCCCCTCAAATAAACCCAATCTTTAATTCAAGAAAAATATGTACATTGAATTTAATAAAAACAGTTATTTAGCTTTTTTTTATACAAAATTCAGCAACATTCTTCACACTTCTCAAAACAAAACTAAGGAGTTAATTTTTTTGAAGAAACATGTTAAAATGTGAGGTGAGTGTTGAGGTTCTATAGATCATCGTCATTTGTTCATCTTAATGAGAAAAACAAAAACATGCAAAGTGAGGCAGGAAATCCCTAAATCAGGGCGACACTGCGATTTTTTCAATCGTTGCATGCAACTACTCCGTGCAACATTTTCCTTTAAGAGGAAAATGGGGAAGTAACAAACAAGGTCGGGGGGATAAGGAGGGGGAAATGAGGAGGTAAGGAGAGGGAAATGAGGAGGTAAGGAGAGGCAAGTGTGGAGGGTGGTGTATCTGTAAATGCCGTTCTTTAAAAAAACAAAATGAAAAGCATATCTTATATTTAGCAGCGTCTTAATTAACTATTTCTGTACCGGAAATCACATACAAATCTGGAAAACAAATGCTAATGAACCTGATAGCAAAATCTGTTTTCCACTTTGGAACAATTTCCCATTTAAAACTTACCTTTTAAAACAGCTGTGTGTTACCTGTTGGCCTGAGGAAAAAAGCTGGATTTTCTAAACTGGTCAAAGGTGAACGTGGTCAAAGGAACCAGCTTTAGGAAGCAAGTTTGCTTTCTTGTTTAAAGCCAATGTTGGGGTGACTCCTGATTAATTCTCACGATGGCATCTGTGAACACATAAAACATAGAGGAAAAAAATATATTAATTAGATAATCTAGAAATTATATTCATACATTCTTTAAAAAATATGAGGCTGCATCATTTCTGCCCCTATGCCGTCCGCCCAGACAGACGTTACCGTTAATGTTTACAGCATGTGCGTCTGTTTGTGCATCTATCAGTTGTCTGTATCAATGCCGTGCAAGACCCCTGAGCTAGCAGACAGCCAGGGTTAAAGGTCACAGCAGAGACTGTCTGGGCTCCCTGACTGACCCCCATTGCCTGCAAGCACAAACATGCACATGCAGAAAGTGGGTGCTTTTGGGGAGGGATGGCTGGTTCAATGGTCTGCCAGACTAATATCACCTATGGGATTAGGACCCAGACAAAAATACATTGACCCTAACCCCTCCTCTTCCTACACACACACACACACACACACACACACAAAGATGCCAGATTTGCCTGGTCATAAAGCAGGACTCGATTGTGCGGTATGACTCAGACGGACCAGAAGAGGTGCTGAGTCTGAGGGGAGCGTCTAATTATCTTTCTAGGCTGAGTTAGCAGGAGGATTGGAGGAGACCAAGTAGGTTAAACGACGCCAAGAACAACCAAGCTAACATTAAGCGGCAGCTAGTTTAGGTATTTTCTGCAACACTCGATGCAACAACAGTATATTATACAAAATATTTATCTCTTAACCTTATCCAAAATTTTTATCTAACGATGCATGGATTAGGAAGAAAACAACAACATTAGTGGACCTGATGTCTGTAAAACAGAAAAAAAAAATTGCAAATCAAAGAGATCTCAGCTGAATGCCACAAGAGAAAGAAAGGTCAGAATCAGAGGCTACAGCCATTGTGAAAACGGGCTAAATAAGCCAGAGTGTTAAGCCTGCTAATCCTCCGGTATTATTGCAACATCTTTGAGGCCTAGAGAGGCTCTGCTAGTGATTATGGAGACAGATGTAAACAATATCCTGCCTGAAAAAGGGAGAGGGCTCCGTCGGGTACTGAAAGAAGCTTGAAATGATGGGTGGGGGGGACGGACTGGGAGATGAAGGAAAGAAAAAGAGACAGAAGTGAAAGACTGAGAAAAGCAGAAGCAGCAGAGGGAGCAGCCGTGGTTTGGGATACAGTTTGAAGGTGGTAGAGAAAAACTGGAGGTGACAGCAGCCCGGAAAGATGGCAGACCCGTGGGCCGGCCTGACGAGACTCCGGGGAGACAAGGCTAATTTATGCTGTGTGTCTAGGAGCCCGTGAATAGGCCAGAAAACTGGGGGGTGGGGGTTTGAGAGTCTCCTCTCTCAGCCCGATTCAGCCGAAGTCGTTCGTCTGGCGTTGAATTAAGGTTTGGGACGGCCGTGTTTAACAAGGCAAAGAAGGGGTGGGAGGAAAGGCAGGGAGGTGAACGAAAAGGCTCTAGCCCCCCCTCACTCCAGTCGACTTCCTCATTCTGGATACATTTGAGATCCACAGGGCAGTATAGCTGTTTCTCTGGATGCTGAACCTTTGGAGCGGACCAAGAATGGGCATAAACATAAAGGCACGCCTGGTTGCAAACGGTGGTGCAATTCTTACCAAAATTCTTTAATATAATTTTGTAAATTTCCCTTTTTATGGCGTGTTGAAAGATTTGCCTTCTTTAATTAATTCAAGGCTTTTTTAAATCTCGAGTTTTCACTTTTCAGAGAAAACCCAATAAAATGTGGTGTATTTTCGTCCAGTCCCCACCTATGTGAATATTTTGTAGAACTTGTAATTACTGCTGGAAGCCTTTTGGGAGCATCTCCATTCTCCAGCAGGTTCAACCAGTCATATTTTGGTTGGGATGAAAGGAACCTGCATCCAATTTTAACTCTTCAGTTTTATTTGATTCTGAACTTTGACCCCTACCCTTTAATATTTTCTTACACTTTGAAACTATTCAACCTTCACCAATAGAGTTAGTTGAAAGGCAAACCTTGCCTTCAGTTTTAATCAGAAGCCTTTAAATCAGTTTTTCTCCATGATCTCTGCGTTTTCCGTCTACTGGAACCTGTTTCCACAGCATTGTGCTGCCACTGCTGAGCTTCACAGTGGGGGTCACGTGTTGGAGGTAATGGACATTGGTTTATTTCCACCACATACTTAATAGCAAGAGGAGCAACATTGTTAAACTCCAGTACATGTTTGCTGTACAGCAAACTGCGCTTGGTTGTCTTTTAGCGACAATTCTCTTCCTGAAGCTCCTCAGTAAATTTAGCTCCCATGCAAAAGTAGTGGAGTCAATGACCGAATATCACGAGGCAATAGGATAAAAATGCTTTGATTGGACGGTATGACTTAAGGTTCACAGTCTATAACATGTCAGTCTAATGATCCTCTAAGGCCTTCACAAAACAGCTGGATTTCTTATTAAATCAACAACAGGTGCTAACAAATAACGTCTGGATGCATTTGTGATGAGACGAAAAGTAAAAAGACTTTCGAGGACAATCAGTATTTTTACCTTGATGAGAAATGTACTGATAAAATGTCTTTTTCTCCTAAAACCATTAAAAAACAAGAATAAATCCTTTGAAATGATTTCGACTTTAGGAACAGATTGTGTAAAATGAGGAAAGTTTTGCAAGAGGCAACAATTACAGTGTATATAAAGCCGACATCAACCATAAAGATCGTGTATCAGTTGGAGTTGAGGGATTACCAAGTGAAAATGTGTGTAAGTGTGGCCATGTCTTTGTTACTTGGCAGGGGCAATTTCCAAGGACTACATTTTGGGGAGTTATAGGTACTTGTGGGGACCAACGACTGGTCCCCACAAGGAGAAGTTCTGTTCTTGGGGTGGGGGTAAGGTCTAGAACTAAGGTGCGAATGAGTTTAGGTTAGGATTAGAGTTAGGTATGTGTCTGCAATGGTTAGGTGCAGGGCAAGGGTCACAGGCCATAGAAATGAGTGGGAAATGAATGGAAGTCAATGGAAGGGCCCCACGAGGATAGTGTGACACAACATGTGTGTGGGTGTGTGTGTGTGGGCCAAGAGCGAAGTGGAGCGAACAGGATGACGGTTGAGTCCGGTGATGCAGGCAGACAGTTTAATGACAGTCCTCGCCACTGAAACATACAAAGCGCCTTCAGATGTACACACACCGTCTGACATGTGCACCTATACGTGTGATGCATGATAGGGCATTTTTCTGCCAGTGGCAATGCAGACCTGGTGAAAATGAAAGAGAAAAAGTACTGTTCTCTGTATCAACCTGAGAAAAAGGAGATTCAAGGGTTCTCCTTCAACACGCAACACGACAACTTCCTGAAAGTGTCCTTTTCCGTCACTAATTAAAGAATCAGCCTGGATGCTGTTCATGTTTCTTTAAAGAGTGGTTTGAAGCAAAGAGCCATTCACTGGGCTGCTGGACACTGAGCTCTTTGTGCTTTTTGTGGTGCCTGGCCGTCGACCAGCATCTTATTCAGCAGCACTTCCTCGGGTCTGGACTTGAGTTTGGTGACCAAACAAAGACATAGAGCCACCTCATTAAAAAAACATGTCATTGGATCAGACCTGTGCTCAATTGTGTGATTTTTTTCCCGTCTTTCTCCTACCATAAGCGACCGTGACTGTGTGCAGAGTTGAATGAGGGGCCAGGCGGAGGCCCTCGGTGGAGCGCCACGCCGCATCCCTATGGGAAACTCCCTTTCACAGAGGGGGGGCGCTTTCAAAGCTTTGTTGGTGTGTTAACATGGCTTTTTAAAACACCTCTTTATGGACCCAGCTAAGCAAACTGCAGGGCCTGGTTTTCTTGTGACAGAAGGAGCATGTAGGAAAAAAAGTGCAAAGAAAAGGGAAAAGAAATGGTTTGATTTATTCTTGAATGCTGTTTTGCATTTTGTCTAAACAAACTAAAAACTCACACATTAATATGGAGTGAAAGGTTAGTTTTATTCTGTCAAGTACAGCCTGAATTCCCCTAAGTCTACATACTTTGTAAAGCCTTGTTTTGCCATTACAGCAGCAGGTCTTGCAGGTCAGGTTTCCAAAGGCCTTGCTGAGTTTGAATCTAATCCAGATTCTAAGATGGATTCAGGCTGAGGGTCTACAACCTAAAGCCTTTTGGTGCTCTTCGCTGGAAAAACGATATAGTAGTAAGTAAAAAATTTACTAAATTAAGTGTATTTACCCTTATTTGAGTAGGTAAATGAGATGGTTTGCCAGGGGAATTAGTGTTTTTACTCTTAAAATAATATAACTAGATAATATGCACTTGAAATAAGACAATGCAACTGTGTTTTCTTATTTTAAGTGTAAATTGTCTTGTTCCATTGGCAAAATGTCTCTTTTACATTCTCAATCCAAGAACAAATGCACTTATTTTATTTATTATTTTAGATTTCGATTTTTTCCAGTGTTCATACCTATACTGCAAAAACGATCTAGAAATAAATAAGAAAATTCTTGAATTAAGTGTATATTTCCCTAATTTGAGCAGGTAAATAAGATGAGCTGCCGTTGGAATGAGTATTTTTACTCTTAAAATAGGATAATTAGATCATATACAATTTTTTTCTTATTTAAATGTAAATTGTCTCATTTCCTCCTCAATTCTAGAGAAAATGCACCTTTTAAGAAAATATTTGCGGTGGTGGTGAAAAATTTCATTTAACTGAGCAGAACCTTTGAAATTCAAAACATTTTTTGTATAGTTTCAGGATCTCTTTTATGCAATATTTCACAAAGCTTTATTAACTACAGACACCATTACTTCACTTGGTTTTTGTTGTCGTGTTGCCATTATATACTCATCTTTACTTTCAATAAATCTACATCTATTAAGTTCGTCCATCAACAAAGACTAGTGTCCCTGTCTCTGCCACAGCATGATGCAGCCACCACCAGAGGAGATGATATTCCTAAGCCAAACTATAGCAATGGTTGCCTTTTTTCCTCCACTTCACATAAGCTCTTTTGTGTTGGTTTTTTACATTAAATATAAATGAAATACATTGAGCTTCATAGATGTAAC